GCAGACCAAATATCTTTCGTCGATGAGGCTATTTAATATGTAATAAATAGCTTCTAAGTTTAAGACTCCTGATTCTCTCAGTATCTAAAATATCGTCCTTTTTCCAAGATCTTTAGCAATATGTCCTTAAATGTTCGCATATTTGGGCTGCACATCGAAGCGCATCGATAGTTGTTCATACTATCCTGATGTGTTTGGTCCTTACTTTTCAAGATAATCTCTAATTCCATCTATTTTAATCTTACTGGTACTCTCCCAGAGGTATTTATGACCTCCAATAAAATTGCATTCAGTTCTTCCCTTTTATTCCAAATTTCAAAATTTGATCCTTTTTTAAGGATCACCTAGTCTTTGGAGTCAAATGACGGAACTTAAATTCATTACATTATATTAATCCTTTATTTGATCAATGATATTTTTTCTCCTATAAGCCATTTCTTTTTCGCTGGCTAGTTTGACCATGGGCTACATATTAATCCTATATTTAGGCCTTTTACCCAAAGTCCGAAATTTTGTTTAAATAGTATGCGATTCCCGAAAGTCTGTCATGAGTTTGTTCATGAGGGAGCAGATGACAAAGATTTTGAAATAAAACAGTATCAAGATGCCTTGCAGGCAACATGCGAAATGCTGCTGAAGTTGCTTATGTCGCCTTAAACGCACTTGGAAATGATTCAAAAAAGAGGTGTTAGTAGGGAGAGTTATCATATGAAATGGAATTTGGCTAAAAGTATGCAGCTATAGAAGCCCGGGACAATAGGCGCGGAAGAGTGATGCCACAATTATTGAACTGAAAATTTGTCCTTAGGATTCCATTCACTCTTCATCTGGACGATTTATAATTCTGCGCAAAGGGTGGCTCGTCTCATCGAAATGACTGAATAAGATGCCGGCACTTAATCCCTTGATGTAACGTCAACGATTTGGTGCCGGAAATTTTCATGAATACTATATCAGAGGACACAAGGCTGAGTACGTACCACATGGTCTCCATATCGCACGAACTAATTTGCGAAAATTAGACCATATCCACTCGGGTATGCTTATAATCTCGTCTATTTTCTAGTTTGATGTATTTTACAACCTACATTTCTATTTTTGCGTTAACGATAATCACACTAATATATCAATGGTAGATATGGCTGGCTAATAAATTTATCTGCCGATAGGGTACATAATGAGGAAAATTGGTCATTATTATACAGACAATTCAGAAGTCTGCATAAGTTCCTTAAAATTTTCGGAAATTGCCTCTGTCCAGAAACATGGTTAAAGGCATCAAGGCACTTTTACATCTATAACGTAATAATCGACAAAATATAGGGCAAGACGATCTGTATTCAATTGTCAAGTCAGTCAAGTCGTTTGGCTATACTTTGGATTCTTAACTGGTAATTTGTTAATTTTTGTCAATAGTATTCAAACTAAGAATGTTCTAAATTTTCGTTTGCAGACTAAAAGTAAGATTGATTTTTACTTTCAAGTACAGCCTACATGCATTCTGCAATAGGCCGGGGTTTCGAGGACATTAAGTTAATAAGAGCAGATACAGTATGATTAGCGCAAGCAAAGGCGACGATCTGATTCATATAATTTCAAACCTTTGACTTATGTTTACTCCAAAAGCAGGACTCTACTTCGGTTGACATTTCGCTTACCCGGTGCCATATAACTATTTTTTCATTCTCATATGTGTTTAGGTCAACGAATCTTCTGCTGCTTGTCTAGTCGAACTGTTGGCTCACTTTCGCACAAATCTAACAAGTTGCTCTGATTCCGTCAATCACCTCAATTCCGGACTTCTGAATGACGAGGAAGACGAAGAGGAAAGCGTCATTAATTACTTGTCTATGTGCCTCGACATCTGTGCCATACCCACTTCCAAATCTGGTAGCAGTGAGGAGGGCGGCGAAGATGGCCCTATCTTTGTCAACATGAAGAGAAGCAGCTCAGAAACAGCTAACCGCTCAAAGGAGGTTAAAATACTGGCCTCTAGAATGCTAGCCGAACTGGAGAGGTATATGTTTTACTCTTTATCCAATTTTGTTCGCCGATATTTATAGTATTTGTACATTATCACATTACGTTTTCTTATGGCCTATCATTTTACGGTAGGATATTGTGAATATACACGAAGGTAGACCTATTCCTAAGTCACAGAAACAATTGATCATGAGACACTATGTTAATGAAGATTGCGAGGAACATATGAAATTATAGAAGTGGATTGACCTCGATGTCGCAACTTGGTCTTGTTGTCAGGGTGACTAGGTAGAACGCACCTAGTTCGAAGTCGTCTGCCATAGTAGTTGTCATGATTCCTAGCATCTGACAGTGCACTTAATACATTCTCAAACGTTTAATTATAACTTACTAACTTATAATTTATTGAAAGTCGTTTACCATTCGCATGGACACATATCCATATTAGCCTATATTCTATTGACTCATTACGATTTTCTTTAGAAATCTGCATTTCTTAAGTGGGAATGAAAATATGCTTTTCTTTACAAGCATTCTGCCGCCACTTTCCTCTAGGATACGGAGGATTTCGTTGTCAAATATTCTTTCTAATAGCTGCTTTTGTTTTAATTAGCCTATTTTATTTTGATTTATCAAAAAATTTGTTGTGATACTT